TCAATGCAGTTTCGATTGAGGGCAACCTGCAACATTTTATCAGTTTCATTCATATCACTGCTTCGTCACTTTATTAACTCTCATTTACCTTGCAGTCCTATTTGCTTTATACCTTGGATCGCCTTTCGCTCATTTCCATTTAGCATTCAGGCTGCAATTGTATCTGTACTTTAATTGTTATCCCAGCATGTGCCGCATTCGGCTCTTACCGAGTGCTTTTTGTTTACGTTGTTTCAACGTTCAGATAACATGCTTCTCTTGTTCATTCCCGGTCTCCTGATCAACGTGTCCCAGTCTCGTGTTATTTTTCCATTGCATACTGTCTTTTCCAACTCATTAGGTGCCTCCAGTGCTCCACACTCCGTGACGACTTCTGCTCCCAGCTCGTCCGCTGGTTCCCAACGTTCCAACTCGGCCGATTCGCTTGCTAAGCGTTCCCAATCAACACATATTCCTTCGGTGTTTGAGCGCTTGGCCGCCTCAGGAACCAATCGTAATCGTCCCGCTACAGCAACCTCTTCGGACATCAAACCCAAATTTGCTGTCCCCACCATGGCAGTCAGGAAACCTACCCCCAGTAGGCCCTTGTTTCACTTCTGTTCATTCTTTTGCGCCATTTTATGCTTAGGTGTCCACTTGCCTTAACTCGCAGTTGACCCAGAGCTCAAGTTAATTCAAGTCCCTTGGATGCGGTGCCATTAGTTTCTCGTCAGACTGTTTTGGTGCATCATTACCTGCAGCTGACGACAAGGCAGTTTTCATCGCTTCCTTTGCGTGCGACTCCCCAATCTTCGCAAGCATTCAACTACTCGCTTCGTGTCCTCTAGTATCATCGCTTCTGTGTGCTGTTGTTAAACCGTCTGTCGACCATCCGTTTTGCCCATGGGGTTCAGGATACTATCATGTGCTCCAAATGCTTGCTTTCAGATAATTTGTTATTTCATGCAGCCAGGTGATTGTGAGATAGTCTCACCCCCATACCTAGTTTCAACTTACGGATGACATAGTCTTTCTGGATTTCATTCGCCGGAACCTCTGCTTCTTCAAGTTCCATTTATAAATCCGTGCATATCTGGGATGGCGCTGAATACTAACCCGGGTTGGCTTTTCTTCCTCTACTGGTTCACTCATTTGATTACAGCGAAACCCAACGGACTGGAGCTTTTTCAATACTTACTCTGTAGGCACCCTGTTCCTTAAGTTCTGACGACTGCGCTGACCAACGAAACATTTCAACTCATATCCTACTTGCGATAAGTCGAAATCTTCGTGTCCCGGGTTGGTGTTGTCTTTTTGACTTGTTTTCTGAGCTGGTTACTCTGATTACAGACGTTGCGCTGTTCATCAAGGTGACATTTTTGGTGTTTGGTGCTTATCACTGCACCAATAGGCACAGCGTTTCAGGGATTTGATGGAAGTGACCACCACTACACACCGAGGAATCCTTCTCGATTGGTGACCAGACATCAGCAGTCAATTTGTTCAATTCATCGAACAAGTCAACATATCATATTTTCTTTATCTGCCACGTTACAAGCTCTCTGACTCATTGGCTCGGGTTTTCTATCTCAACATGGCCGACCAAACCTCCGGAAGATCAGCATCTAACGACATCGATAACCCATTACTTATCTATCCTTATATTCGATTAGACGATGTGACCAAAGCGACTTGATCAAAACGGAATCCATTTCTTCTAATTACGGTTGTTGTTAACTTGTCTTATACGAAACTATTCATATATGCATCCGGTTTCGTGGTACTTACCAGCTGCGTTGGTGTGCCCAGAATGGATTGTCTCCTATGGTTTCTTCACAGTTTTCCCGTGCTCGATGTTCATGACACCTACTTATCAGTTCCCGTCCTGTATTTGAACTTGAAATGAAAAAAAAATGAAATGTGTCAGCTTATACGCCGTAACGGCGCTTCGCTGCCGCACGACCACCACCAGTCGCGCGCGGGCTGAGTATACCGCGAGGACGCCCACCCCTACGCGGATTCGAACCGGTGACCTTATGGTTGGAAAGCAAACGCGCCGACCACTCGGCCACCGGCCGACGTATTTGAACTTGCATCTCACTCGACCAGATCCCCATGCCTAAGTACGTGGCGATGGAATTTGGTTTTACCGAACACGACGGTCACGGAGCCGTTATCCAGTGACGGATGGGGATGTGTGGTAGTTGGCGTTCCACGACTCATCTTACACCAAATCGCACCATCTACACTGACCAGGTCACTTTATTTGCATGCTTGTTCGTTGTCTACTTCGGCATGCCTAATTTGTCGACGGCACCTAGTCACGTACATTTGAAGCAACCTGACGATGGTCACGTTGAGAAGTGGCGGTCACCTGGATGAAAACATCGGAGTACCCTACCAGTGTCAACATTGCATTTGAGTGGACAACTTCCCTCTTTCTGTAGGTCCCACACGCTTTGTGGTTAGTCTATCCTCTTACTGTGCGGTTTAATGTCTTCACACTTCTATCTTACTCATAGTAACTGTACCCACCGCTCTTCTCCACTTCAGATTATAGTCGCTACGCCGCGAATTTACTTCCTTTTATCCTCCCTTATCAATCGGCTCATTCTTGATTGCATTTTCCGGCTCCTGTAGAAGCATTGCACGTTTCCTAGCGTTCTTTGCGTTTCCAGAGTTGTCAGTCAGTTAAATTACACAGATCAGATCCTTATGACCGAAGGCTCCTAGTGGGGCCCCCCAAGTTAATCCACTTCCTCGGCCTAGGCAGCTGGGAAGCTGTATGTCCACAAAACGCATAAAATGATGGATCTACAACTGCTTGTTGTCAAATTCGGCTTGCTTAATTTGTCGAGTGCATTTAGTCACATTGTCTGAGAGGCAAAACGGTCTAATGTTGAAATGCGCTTTGGAGGTGCAAAGCAATGGGTTGTTAGTCCTGCCAAAAAGTCGTCTAACTCAGTGAAGTTTCACCCGCGTTGGTGGCCGGATCGAACACGCAGTCATACTCATAGGCGTCGTGTGAGCCCTGCCAAGATTTCTGAGCCGCAGCATACGAGAAAACTTTTCTGGCGACAAAATACGAAGAGGTCCAAGGTACGAAGCCTGGCTGAGTCTACGTGTCGGCCAGGACGCCAAAGCGGCTGACATCAAAAGTACTTGGCATGCGCTGCCGGTCTACAGTGACTTGACGGATAGCTTTCCGACCACAAATGGCGTTCGCCAGGGGTGTCCGATTTCCCTGTTATTCAATTTCGTCATGGACTCTGTCATGGTGTGTTCCCTTACGCAATCTCACGATGTCGTTGTTAAGGTCCTGCCTGGTGAAAGATTAGTTGATCTAGATTATGCGCACGATATTGTCTTGCTTTTCGACGATGTTGCGGCGGCACAAGCAACCCTGAATAGCCCGTTTAGAGTGTTCCCATTGTTTGGTATGCGCTTCGCACCAAAGTGCAAATTGTTGCTGCAAGACAACCGCCACCCTTGACCCTTACTAACAAGGAATTTGAGCTGATTGATCAATTCGCTTACCTTGGCAGTTGCATCAGCAACCATGGGCACATAGAAACTGAAGTCAGCTCACGCATTGCGAAAGCCAGAACTGTGACATCTTTGGCGACAGGAGTTTCCCTACGTGTGAAAGCGGCGTATCCAAGGCCACAGTGAGAGCCGTCGTGCTATATGGGAGTGAGACTTGGCCCCTTTCGTCTGAAGATCTGAGGCGCCTTCAAGTCTTTGATCATCGTTGTCTGCGAAGCATTGCTGGTGTCGGATGGCACCAGCGTGTCCGCAATGATGATGTGCGTAGGCGAGTACTAGGTAGTGATAATCATGTTAGCACCTTAGAACAACAGATAGCACTGAATAAGTTGCGTTGGCTTGGGCACGTTCTACGTATGCCTGGTCACCGCTTACCTGGGAGGGCCTTGTTTAGTCTACCAGGTGTAGGGTGGCGCAAGGCTCGAAGTGGACAGAAGTTGACTGGCAGCAGGAAATGAAGTCACTGACGACCAAACTAGGTGCTGTTGGTCCCTTACGCTTTCTGGGCTGGAGTTTACGTTTCCTGCTTTGTGCTTGACTCGAGACGTTATAAGGCGTGACTGGCAGTCGATACTAGTGGCGTGTTTGCTGCCGTGTCCTAGTCGGATTGCCTGTCTAAAGTGTGTTTGGTGCTGAGTTATCTGCGGAGTAATGGCTGATTATGATGCGGGGCAGTGAAAGCCGCAAGGAAGCTGTCTCGCTGATACCGCCTTATCTTTGCACGATAGCCAGCTGTTTTTGACGGTATGTTATCTACACAAGGTGTAGGCGCCTTAATCCTGAATGTCTGCTTAGGGCATTAAGGTTTTCAGGTAAGTCCCACTTCCCTCTCTCGTATTATTCTTTATTTCATAGGTCATTACGGTTGTATGGCAGCGAAGCATCAGTTTAAATGGCTGATGTACTGCTGATGATCTTGTTATTGTTGCGCTGCCGGTAGTATACAACCAATACGTCAGTGTGATAGCGTGTTTCGCACTTGTCAGCCAATTTGTCTCTTCTGAATTTTTGCGGCTGGATGGAATGCGGCACCAGGCAGTGTGCAGCGGCAGTTCACTCTTGCGACAGTGATCGCATACGACACGGATGCACTTTTATAACATCTGTTCTTGTTCAACTTCGTCACGGACGAGATCCTGGAGACTGCCCTGGCAAACTCTGAATTCTTCTTCATCGAAGTGCTCCCTGGTGACCGCGTTCGGAGCAGATGACATCGCTATGATTTGTGGGTCCTCCTACACCACCCAAAATGTGCTGCTTTGGCTAGCGATGTCCGTCTCCCTATTTGGGTTTCCTTTTGCCGGTTCCAAGTGTGAGGTTCTTTTACAGGTCTGGCCAAGCGCGTCTCCTTTTCTCATGGTTTCTGGGCATCCGCTAAAAGTAGTCGACATTTTCATTTACAGGTAGAAATTCGTCACATCTAGACTCACTCAGATCGCCATCACACGCCCGGAAAAGCACTGTATGCGCGTTTCATTCTTTCAGGAATCGTCAGCAGTGCGCATTCCATCGGACCCTGCTAGAGTTCGAACCCACAACTCGACTGTTTCCAGTCCCTAGTTAAGTCCGCTGAGCTACAGGGGACGGCAGCGACCATCGTGAATAAGTTAGTAGATGTGATATAGCGCCGCTCACTATCCACTGACTGGCACGTCACTGCCGTGCAGAGGACATGGTAAATAATAATAATAATAATAGTAATAATAATAATAATAATAATAATAATAATGTGCCAGCTGTACGCCGTAACGGCGCTTCGCTGCCACGCGACCACCACCAGTCGCGCGCGGGCTGAGTATACCGTGAGGACGCCCACCCCTACGCGGTTTCGAACCGGTGACCTTATGGTTGCAAAGCAAACGTGCAGACCACTCGGCCACCGGCCGACATGGTAGCTCCCTCACCAAACCAATGGACACATATGGGGTACTTAGCTATACTTCAAGCCACCCGAAGCACGTGTACGCGGGAAACGCCTCATCACTACTTCACAGAGCAAGTGCTCTGTGCACGTAGGAGGAAGATAAGAAAGCAGCGCAGAGGGAGGCGATG